CTACATCACATGGTGCTATATTTAGATGATGTTCTAGGAAAAGACAAAGTTATAGAAAGTACAGAAAATATCGTTATTTTCCAGAGTTTGGAACTGAGGGGTGTAGGGATACAAAGGAAATTTAAAGGGTAGTCTAATTCTGTGTTTTGATTGTTCAAGTAATGACATGATTTATGAATTTTCAAATTTCAAAGAACCAAGAATAATCACTTTAAGTAACCTATACTGAATTTAAAATAAATAGTATTTTAATCTTTACAATTTGCTTTTTTCAGTCAGGATGAAGGCTATGTGTAGTTCTACCTCATTAACTTTTTCTGTGCTTATGTAAAATGATATTATGTAAATATATCTATCTGTTAATCTGTAAAAATATTTAGGAATCATTTTTCAGCTTTTGTTTTTTGTTTTTACAATGCACAGTGCTGCTCTGGTAATTTTAAGTAAGGCTCATTGTACACTATGTTAGTTACAGTTCTCTAGAGGAACAGAATAAAATATATTCTGCAAAAGGGTCTATTATACAGGCTTACAGGATTAGAAATGACAGGGTTCACCAAGGACCTGCTAGAGAGCCAGAAAATCCAGTAATTGCTCCACCCAAGAAGCTGCAGGCCCCGTAAAAGGAGGGATCAAGGATGCAGCATGATCAGAGACTGAGGCCTAGAAGCTCCCTGGAGGTTTCCGGTGTGATTTTGAATTGGAATACTGAAGAGACTGGGGTTCCATGTCTACAAACAATGGCAAAAACAAAAGATAAACCTGCTCAAGCAGAATAGAGCATTTCAAACATGCACCAAAGTTAGGCATAAGAGTGCATCCCTGTAAGACCAGTACAATGGAAAGCTGAGAAAGGATGGGTAATTTAGCGATTCAGTAAATCACTGTCTCAAAATAAAACATAAAAAATGGCTGTCAATGTAACTCAATATAGAAGCCATGGGTTCATTCCCCAGTACCACAGAAACAATCTAACCAACCAGCAAACAAAACATGGGCCAACTTCTTTTCCTTTTTATTCTATCTGGGCTATATGCTCACAAACAGGGTGTGTCTTCCTATCTGAGTTTGCTGGCCTACATACCAATCCTCTCTGGAAATACCCCACATCTAGACCCATGCCTTCCTAATCTATTAGGTGTTTCTTAATCCAGGCCAGTTGACATACCATGATTAACAGGCACATGAACACATGCCAGAGTGTTCTGAGGTGTAGAACTGCTGAGATTTAGGGAGCGTGTTTAGGGAACAAAATAACTCAAGACATTTTATCTTCAAATGTTTATTCCAGTGAACCCTTAACTGAAATTATTAAATAATTTTCAAAGTTCCACATTCTCACCAGCACCTGGTATAGTCAAACCTATTTCTTAGCACCCTGGTTACTGCTGAAGTTGAAAATCTTTTCATATTTTTTTCTTGCTATTCCTATTTTCTCTTTTACTTTTCTGCCCATTTCCCATTGTGTTGGCTTTCCTTGCTTGTTGGTTGGTTGGTTGGTTTTTTGGAGACCAAGTGGTGTTATGCAGCTCAGGGTGGCCTCAAACTCACTATCCTCTGACTTTTTTTTTTTTTTTTTTTTTTTGCCAAGTGCTGGGATTATAGGCATGTGCCCCTAAGCCCAGTTCAAGTTTTTCTTTATGAATCAGAAGATCAGAAAGTAGCATTAATATTAATCTTTTGTAGTTACTGTGAGATGTAAAAGTTTATATAATTTTTACTCATTTTTCCACTTTATTGTGTTTTGATAAACAATAGTTATCAATTTTTTTGGTCTTCTTCTTATTCTTTTTTATCGGTACCAGGGATCAAACTTGCGACCACACAGTTGCAAGGCAGGTGCTTATGCCACTGAAGTAAATGCCCATCCCCTAATAGCTATCAATTTTAATGTGGAGCATTTATCAATATTTTATTTTGTATGTTTTTTGTATCTTGTTTTTAGAATGAGTCCTTAATTAAAAGTCATAAAGGTCTTTTAGTTGCTCTTAAGTATTGTTAAATTCTGCTTTTACACATTTAAATGTACCTAGTACATAGAATTTTCATAGATAGCATGAACTCTATTAAATGTATCTGGTTTAATTTTTACATATACATAACCAATTGTCCCACAGAATTTTTTGAAATAATGTTTTAAACAATGCTCTGGAAATTCATTTTTGCCATATTTCAAGATTACAAATATACACAGGTTTTTGTCTCTTTATGTTCCATTGGTAATTGGTATTCCTGTACCAACACCAATCTTTAAGATTATTATTGTTATGATACATATTAAAATCCAACTGAGTATTCTTCCCATTCTTTAGGATCATCTCCTTTATTTGGTATTAGATGTCAGATCTAACAGCACAGTTGAACTCAAGTTAATTTTTGCCAATATTTCATAAAAAATATTTCATAGACATTATTTCTCTTATGCTTCCTACTACGTATTCTATTAGTGTAACTGCTAATGCTGCTAAGATTGCTTGTTTATTTAAAATATTTACAGCTTGTTTGTTTAAAACAAGCTGTTGACAGCCAGATCTCCACATTGAAAAATAACACTTTCCTTTTATTGGGTAATCTATGAAAGTTATTGAGTAATTTGTGGAGTAAAACTTTGCCATATTTTAAAGTACTTTAAAATAAATCAATCAGATTTAGTTGAGTTCAATATTTTAGTGTTTACAAAGTAGTAATTATCATTTTTTTGGTATTACTAGTATTTTCTGTGACGAAGACCTATCCGTTGGCAAAAAGAGATGAATTATAGTTTCTTTCCAAAAGGACTGAATAAAATACCTAAGTTTTCCCTTTAATTGCTAATATCCAGAATATCATTAGGCATTTGATGTAGTGGTTTCTTTTGGTGAAAGTTGTCATTTCCCCTTGTGTCTCTATTTCTTGTTAAGTATCCTAATGGACTCCAATTTTATTTACTCAATGTGTTAAGCAAGTGATTACTCCTTTTGATACTCAGATTGTCTCAGATTGTCTACTGTCATTTTTTCCCCAATCTCTTTAGTCTTTGAGTTTTTCCTTATTTTCAGGAATAAAATGTTCTGGTTTCCTCTTGTACATTTCCTGCCCCAGACTGACAGTTCATCTTCTCCAGTTCAACCCCTTTTAGTTTACCTGCTTATTGCACTTGTGTTCACCTCTCTCTTCCTTTCTGCCATCTGGGCATTTCCTCCAGGATTTTCATTGTTGCAACTGTTTTTTGAAGCTATGGTTCACATTTTTCAACATCAAATATTTGTTCACTGCCAACTTTTGATACAAAAACTCAGGATACAGAAACATTATTATTAAGAAGCCTACACTGCAAGAATTCTTTTTTATGTTGCTATGCATTTTAATGTATATTTTTATCTTCTGATTTTAGGTACTTTGCAGATTCTAAAGTAATTGAGCCTATTATATTACCTTTAAAGATGTCATAGGCTGGAGATACAGCTCAGTGGCATAGTGCCTACCTGGCAAGTGCAAGGTGCTGAGTTCAAGTCCTTGTATCAAAAAGTGTTATGAATGATAATATATTAATTTTTGTATCAGTTTGCAGAGTGAAATTTTGAGAAAAACACGGAAAATAGGAAGTCCAGGTCAAAAAGAACTGCAGTATTCCAGATATACAGTGGTTTGAGCAAGCAGAAGGCAGAATAGAGAAGAAAAGTTGGTTTGCAGGAATATCTTGAAGGAAAACAAGATTGAATTTTGTAACAGTTTAATAAAAAGACATGATACAAACATAGTCCAAGTTGGCCTAGAATTCCTTTTCTGTAGACAGAAAAACTGTAACATTGATAGAAAGAATTTAGCAAGTATTAATGGGTGAAGGCATAAAAGTGAGGTATTTTGGAGGATATAGACTGTATCTCTCTATATAATATTCCATATGGAGTATTAACAAGCTATGTATCAATGCATTTGAAGATGTCAGAGCACCTACGTACATAGCTCCTGGTTACTGAAACAGTAGGACTAGACCAAAGTAAACAAGTGATAGGTTAGAGGTTAAGAGAAAGGTGCTTTCTTTGTATGCTTAAACTCTGATTTGGCATTTGGCACAAGGCCAAACCTGAACATATTTCTCCATTAAAATGCATGAATGTGATTGCTGAGCCTGTCTAAATGTAAAAGCTGAGGTCGAGCCCCTCACGTTGGCATACACCTATAACACTGGCGCTCTGGAAGGCTGAGGCAAAAGGATACAAGTTCCAGCACAGCCAGGGCAATTTAGTGAGACCATGTCTTGAAATAAGAAATTAAGGGGTTGGGGATGTAGCTCAGTGCGAAGTCCCTGAGTTCAGTCCCAGTATGACAAAAACGAACACGCATACGCAGTCATTCTTCCCTCTACCCTGCATTGCCAACAATTGCCCACCTCAGAAGAAACAATTCTAAGAGTACTTTGGCAGAAGACAGTGAAGGAATTGGAATTTATACTTGCTTCTTGGGGGAAGGGAGGTATTCTGAACTTCAAGGTATGCCTACAAACCACTTTTACTCTCCATTCTGCCCACTGCCTGCTAACCTAATCACTTTATATCTGTAATGTTGTAGTTCTTTCCCGGCTGGACTTCATGTTTTCTCAAATATTCATTCGGCAAGCTGATAGAAAATTGAACTTCTGGAAAACACAGATCTGCCGCTTTCAAAATTGACACCATATGCATTTTGCAGGAGAGTCAGATTATCTCCACAAGGTAGAGCTTCACAGCCCAATATCTTTTCCATAGTGCTCCATTTGTTAGTTAAAAATTCACCGACACCGTTCCTCTTTTCAAACTAAAAACCTGAAATTCCAATTCTACAAACCAGCGTTGCCCTTTCTATTCCCGTCCTCAAGGGGGCTGTGTGCAGAGAGCTGCTCTTGAACTGAAGTACCGAAATTCACAACACCCAAATCTTCCAGCGTTTCTCCGGCCGCGCCAGATTAGTCACAGCGCCCAAGGCCTCAGACTACGCCTGCGCATCCGGGTTCTGTGGCATGGACGCATGCGCCTCAGAAGGGCTTGGCCGGATCCCCTGGGGCGTTCCGTGCAGCAGTTGGGGACCATTGCTGTGGGAGGAGTTACGGTCTCACCGTGGAAACCGCGGCGCCTCCGCTGCCCCTCCTCGCTGGCCTGGGGAGTGTGGTGGCCTAGGCTGAGAGTGCTTAACCCGAGTACCCGAAAGTAGCAGCCGGCCTCTCAGCCGCCGCTGCCGCCGCCGCCATGCAAGGGGAGGACGCCAGATACCTCAAAAGGTGACACCCAGGCTCTGCCCTGCCTCGCGGCCGTCCCTGGGCCCAGGTGTGCTCGGTGGCTGCGAGAGTCACCGGGCAGCGCTGGCGTAGGGGTCTGGAGCCGGCAGAGAAGCGCGGGAGGGCGCGAGAGGGTGGCGCATGCGAGGTCCTGAGACCCTCCTGCCTCGGTGGCCGCCAGCGCGCGGAGCGGCTCTGCTGCTCCGTCCAGGCCGGGCGAGGTCCCCGCGCTGTTTCCCCCGTAGGTCAGTCCCGTCGGGTCACGGGGCGCTGTCCTCAGGTTGGGGTTCACAGTCCCGGGGTTTTCAAATGATGAGGATGAGAGAGACGGTGGCTTTTTCTCTGCGAAAGGCCGTATTGGTACTGACTGAAACGTTGCTGTCCAGCTGTTTCTGCTTTTTTGGTCCCTTTCACCCATTTGACTGCCATGTGTAAAATAATATTTGTGGGAGGTTCATAATTGTGTCAAGGGCTTGGCATGAACAGGTTGATATAAATATTTGTGGTATCATTCTTTCTCATTTTTATTGATAGCACTTTGCAGCACATGATTCCGATCATCGTGGGGAGCTGGCATCTGTACAGAACACATCTCAATTCGGTTCACATCCCTTTCTTCTTTCTCTCTGCTGCCCTCCATCTCTTGGTTCCCTTCCCATTCCTTTTCCAATTATCTTTAAATTGCTATCTGTTGTTTGACTTCTGTTGAAGATAAGATCATCCCCGATTAAAAAAATAATAAATATTAAAAAGATACCCCTCACCAGACCAAGTTAGCTATCTATGAACCACCAGAAAAAAAAAATTTCCATTTGGATGTTCTATGTTTGTTTCTGTTACATATTCAATAAATACTAGGTTTATTTTTACTGACATAAATATGTAAAAGCGATATGCTTTTTAGATACAATTTCTTCAACTGAAAATGGAACATATATTATTTTCTGAAAGATATGAGGAAAAATGTGAAAATACAGTTAGAAGATAAAACGTGCATGTTAAAAGATGGCATGACGTCAAGTCATTATATATTTTTATTGAGTATATTTTTCCTGGCTTGGCATTGTTCTCATCATCACAGAAAAATCTTCCAAGCATTAATAGACTCTTAAGAGGGATTCACAATGTTGTAAAATAAACTGAACTGATTTTGAAAGACAGAGACATAAATCTTACCTCTTTTTCATTGTATATAAATATCTGAAACTGGCAAATAACCAAACTATATCAGTAAAGATTTTTAAATAGGAATATATAAACATAACATAGTATTTCCTCAGTGAAATTTTCTTATTGATCTTCAAAATCACTTTAGTTAAAATTTTTTGGGCAAAATAAATTGTTTTCCAAGTATAAGTTCAAGATTGTTCTATAGCAGAGTGCTGCTATTATTCCATTTACTGATTTTTATGTATTACAGTTGTGTTAGAGGTAGTTTCTTCTTAGGATTGTTCTACTAAGTCGCTCCTGAGGCATTCTGGGACTAGTAATTTTCAACCTTTGAGTGCCTTTAGATCAGTCTAGTATCTTGTGTACAAAAAGTAAAAATGAATCCATACCATGGTATTTGAATTAAAATAATGTAAAATAATGTCAGAATCTGGAAAAGTTAAAAAATACATTACTTAATTTTATCCAATTTTGACAAATTTGCATTACCTGCCTTCAGATACGTTGCTGGCCTATTCACACAGGCATGCTAGAAAAGGCTTGTTACATGTGGCAGGTCTTCCATTTAATTACTGGTTCTTCAATAGTGATTCCATATATTTCTTGAGCACTATTTTTATTTTCATATTTTGTTTTTGACAAGAGCAGTATGTCAGTCTAACAGCGTTTTAATTTCTTATTGTAGCTGCTATCACTGAATAATTTCTAGTCTATATATATGCATGATGTTTGTATTTATATGGAACAAACTATAGAATCCAAACTAATGAGTTTAATTTGTTGTTGTTGCTCAGGTACTAGATAATGTTTGACTCGGTACCACAGAAAGTGTGCCACGTAGGTAGTATGTGCCACTGAGGAAACAGCTAAGCAGGTACAGTTCATATCGTCAGTGAGGTACGCAGACAAGTGAACAGCAGTTCATAGAGATACAGTGATGTTTTTCTTCTTTTTCTCTTTCTTGCTTCCTCTTAACACTCTCCAATGGCTTTCCATTCCTTTGCGTTAGAGCACCTATCTTCATCTCAGCTCCCTCCAACCCTAATATTTTAGCCTTAGAGAAGTTAACCAGTACTTTTTCTCCCCCAAGTCTGGGGATTGAATGCAAATCCTTCACAATGGACTTCATCCCCAGTTCTTTCATTTTGTATTTTGAGGCAGAATCTCAAAATAAAGTCAGGTCTTCCTGAGTTGCCCCGGCTGGGCTTCACCTTACAGTCCTCCTGCCTCAGCCTCCCAGAGTGCTGGGATTTTAGGTTTGCTATACCATGTGTAGCTCAAGTAACCTTTTTTGGTTTTCCTGTATGTTTTAGTGTTTGGTTCTGTATGTCCTTTCCTCTTTGTTTGGTTCTTGCTTTTTTCTTCACCTGGTATCTTTTCTGTTTTAGTTTAATGTCACTTTTCCCAGAAGGCCTTCCTCTCTTACCCCACAGTCTGATAAGGTAAATCTACTAGGTTCTCATGATACTTGAGACCTTATTTTTTTTTTCCAGTCTTAATACTTCATTGTTTTGTATTCTCTGGTTCCTGAACTTCATGAAGTTAAGCTACTGTGTGTCTTGCTTTGTGTTTATTCCAACCTCTATGCTTGGAATGTAGATTATTAAATGAAGTAAGAATGAGACCAGAAAATAACTTGAGACAAATCATTATAGGACTTATGAGCTGTACTGAAGAGTTAAAACTTTATTATAACATCTCAAGGAACCACTGAACAAGTTTAATAGTGAAAAACATTCATTCAGTAATTTAGTAGTTGAGATCCTGCTGTGTAAAAGTCACTCGGCCAAGTGATAAAGCATGCCCTTTTTAGCATGTGTACTCTATCAAATACACAGCATTTAAACACTGTGTAACCAGAGGTGGTTAGTATTGTATGCTATTAGGATGTGATTTTTGTTTCAAATTTTTTCACACAGTATAATCATAGTCCAGCTGTGTTGCCACATTCCTGTGTGTTGCTGAATAATACTTCACGTGTGTCAGTACCACATTTTGTTTATCCATAACTCATCTGTATGTAAACTTTGGGTTGCTTTGTATGTTGGCTATTGGGACTGTTGCCAAGAACATTACACATTTTTGTTTGAGTGCTTGTTTTCATTTTTTTTTGGCATATACTTAGACAGGGAATTGCTGCATCATATGGTAATTCTATATTCAGCTTATTGAAAAAACCTGACATGTTTTCCAGTGTCAGCACCTTTTGCAGTTAAACCAGTAATCTGTGAGAATTCCAGTTTTTCCACCAGTACCTGTTACTGTCCATTCTCATTTATAATTATGAGCATTCTAGCTAATATAAAATGGTATCAGTTTGATTCTAATGTGCATTTCCCTGATTATTAATTACATTGGGCTTCTTATTAGGCTTCTTGATCATTTATTTTTATTCTTTAGGAGAAAATAGGTTTCTTATATATTTTAGATACCAGACCCTAATAAGGTACATAATTTGCAGATATATTCTATTATCTAGATTGTCTTTTCACTATCCCAAATATCTCTTGTCATTGATGTGTGTGTGTGTGTGTGTTTTTACCTCCTTTCATATATATATATATATATATATATATATATATATACACACACACACATATATATATATATAAAAATTTGAAGTTCACATTGTCTCTCTAGTAACTCTTGCTTTTAATGTCATTATTTTATAAACCATTATTCTTAATACAAATTCATAAAGTCTTGTCCTTATGACTGTTTTAGCTCTTAAATTTATGTATTTTATCCATTTTGAGTTATTACATATGATATGTGTTAATGGTCCACCTTCATCCTTTTACATGTGGATTTTCAGTTTGCTTTACCCCATTTATTAGATATTATTATTTTCCTTCATTTCTGCTTTGACCATCCTGGTTGAAAATTTATTGACCCTAGATGTAAGAGTTTATTCTTGGACTCCCAATTTTATCCCATTTACATGTATTTCTATATTTGTGCTTGTACCTCATTGTTTTCCTTACTTGAAGCTTTGTAATGAATTTTGAGAATTGTGAGTCCTTCAACTTCATTGTTGATTGTTGTAGCTATGTAGGGTCCTTTCTGGTGATCCTAAATACAGATTTTAGAGTTGGCTTTTCCATTTCTGCAAAAAAGCTATTAGGACATTGATAGGCCTGTACTGAATCTGAAAATCTATCGTATTAATATTAGTTTATTATTTATTTAGTTATTATTAATTTGAGCAATTCCAGTGTATAATGTTACAATTCTCTTTATGCTTATTTTATTTTTCTTGATACTATTGTAATGAAATTGGTTTCTTATTTCCCTCTTCAGATTTCTCATTGCTAGCACATGAAAATTAAGTTTTTTTTTTACATGCTAATCTGTCTGGCAGCTTTCTTGAATTTGTTCACTAGCTCTTAAGAATTATTTTGTGCACCTCCTAGAATCTTCTACATAAAAAAAAATTGTGTCATCAACAGATAAAGATAACTGCTTGCCTTTCTAATGTGGGTGCCTCTCCTGGCCCTGCCTTATTACTCAAGTGCATATTTTTAGTACTTCGTTGTCTAGAAGTGGAAAAGTGGATATCTTTCTCTTATTCCTGATCTTGAGGAAGGCTTTCATTCTTTTACCATTGAATAGATTTTAGCTATAGGTTTTTTATACATGCATTTTATTATGGGGGGAGTTTTCTTCTATTCCTAATTTATTGAATCCTTTTATCATGAAAAGAAGGTGTTAGGGTTTGTCAAGTGATTTTACTGCATCAGTTGCAATAATCATGTACTATACTTTCTATGCTTTGTAATGTGGTGTCTTACATTACTGTGTTTCCCTCCTTTAATTTGTTGAGGAAAACCCAG